GCATGCTCGGATGGCTTCGGAGCTGTTTGAATTGCAGTTGCGTTTTAACACTTCCCTGCTCTTCCAGAATGGAATAAGTACCATGGCATTGCGCGACTCCGTTCTGTGCTCGGTAATGTTGAAGACACCGTGGGTTGTAAAGTCTACTTTTCTGATGATCGTACAGCTAAATTCGTATCGTATTATCACATTAGTGAAGATGTGATGTACCGAGATCGTCATGGAGCAGATTTGGAGGACGACGACTTGGAGTCGTTGCACTTTACGAAGCGCAGTAACATGGAGTCGAGTACTGAAAACTCAACGCTCGAATCCACTATGGATCTGAGTGAAGTCTGCAACTCGAACGCTGCTCCGATGATGAGCGAGGTCACGCTCGAAGCGACCAGAGACCTCGAGGAAGGCGAGGACGATACTGCGCAACGAGTTAAAGAGCGAGATGAGGTGATGACGGAGCTTAGGGAGGCGCAACAAGCATCATTACCGTCAAGAGCATCTGCAAACTGGACAGGACTGGAAGGAATCGAAGACACAGTGACTGAACCTCCGTGTGTTCCGGATGTTGAAGGGGTGACGGCGGGTTTACCTAGTGCTCTGACTGCACTGCAGAGTGAACAATACCACAACCAGAGTGATGATCTTATACAGGGTGACGGTGTGAATTCTGAAGGATCAGCGTCGAAACTTACGACAGTGTATGGATACACGAAACCTGACATGACAAGTGATAATGCGTCTGCTGTCAGTGTGTGTGGTTCATTGGACGTTGGTGCTGATGGGAGTTCATCTGAAGTGGACACTGAAGAGCTGCATGCAGGTGAAAACCTTTCTGAATCGGTTGTGAATGAAGCGAATCTTGTAGCCGATGAAGACGGAGATATGCTGGCTGACGTTGATGAGAAATTCAGTGAAGATGCTGACAACGTTACCATTGCCAGTACGTGCGAGAAATTGGTATGCAAGCGTCAACGAGACGAAACTAACTCAGAAATGGGTCGTGTGGAGATATATGCGGAACGTGAAGGTCCGAAACGAACTCGAACTGGTCTACGTGAGTATCACGTGCGTCGTCGGCCTAAGTATTTGGATGACTATGTAGTCAACGCGGTGCAGAATACGTCACGAGAAGTCCGAAAATGTGCTCGGTCGTCATGGGACTGGTTGAGTTAGCTTCCGTACTCATAGCAATTATGTCCTTAATAATTTGTGCGAGCTGAATACGATCATTCGGTGACAAGAAAAATGTTGCTCCTTGTGACGTAGATGCTGTTACTGGTGGCAGCCATCATGTTTCTCAGAACCCCGTAAACCAGAGTTCGTGCCTTGATCGGAGTCCATTACGATACGGACGTTAAAGACAGCAAACAGGCCACAACAGCGAGAGCAATCGACGCTTCCATCGGTGGGCTATACGTCCTGCTCTTCAAACTAGTTTCCGTAGAACTGGAGCCAGAGATGGCGGTGGTGCATCGTGGTCCACCCCACGAATGATACATACATTCGCAACGCTACTTGAACAATTTCCCGGTCTTTAGAGCCGTTCGACTCAAAGTGCCACCAATCGTGCAGTCGTCGCTGGTCTCGCAGAACGCCTTGCCAGCCACTTCCTCCCACTTATTATCATTATCTTCGTACTCGTCGATGTGGGCTTCAATCCATTCTTGAGTCGGATGACTCGCTGGATCACAACCAACTTGCATGTAATTATCAGCTTCGAGATCCGTCGCCAAGTCCTGATACAGACGGATGTGGTCGATCTTCATGTACATCGGGAACGAGTCGCAGATAACGTTCGTCACAGGATCTTTTCCATCACCACGACATTCCTTGCCTGGGTTGGGCGGCGTCGCACACCAAGAACTGGACAGCGACACGTTGAAAATCACATACAAAGGCTCCTATTTCTTCGGGTTGTTCTTTTTCGCATTCTGCAGGACGTTGACGATCGAATCCGTCGTGACTTCGAACAGAGGCTCGCCGTGAAGCATCCAGCGTACATATCCATTCTTGCCTGTAACCCACTCCACTTGGTAGTCGTAGAAACCCGTGTACGCGCCGAAATATAGGCCAATTTCGACGAGATTGCATCAATCTGATAGTTAAATGCACTAATCGCATTGGACTTGGGTGTAGTGGACTCATTGCGAGGACTGGCACACTTGGAGAACATATTATCAGGATCACACAAGTACGAGCCCATGTACGAGTTGATCAGCGGATAACACGTGCCGTTCGAGTTAATTCCCCAGTGATCTTTCCCTTTGCCGACAATCAGACTCAATTCAGCATTCACATCGCCTGAAGCTGGACATGTATCCACAGCACAAGTGTTCTCGGTAATACCAGCTTTCACTGACGCTGCAAATGTGGCGTAGTCTTGTTTCTCCTCTGCGTTCTGCTTGCAATAGTTGTTGGCAGCGTAGCGTAACCCTTGATACCAGGATTTGTGACCACGTTCCTTCCCGTAATAAGCTGTTGGTACGTCGATATAATTTGCTCCTGGTGTTAAGCAGTGTAGGAGTACAAACAGTAGCTGAAGTCTCCAGTTGACGTATCCACAGGGGAAAAGTCGTAGTCGTCTGGCTATCCTGGTGCAATTTGCGGGAGAAGATGAAATAGCCAACCCCTCCGCCATCCAGAACATCGATCTTCAGGAGCTTCGACGACCTTGGTTTGGGGTTCAAACCGTAGCCTGGATTGTCGTTCACACGCACTGATCCGTTGGAAACTCGGGTAAGACACGATCGCATTGCGATTCATCCTATCAAGTACGGTCATATAGGGGGCTCGTCGCAGCGAAGAAAAACCTCGCCCGGTGGTTCGCAAGCACCCAAATTTCCTGGGCGCCTGGGCATTACATTTGATTGGTTGGTGAGTTTGTCGAGCGTTTTCGT